ATGGTATTTGTATTTCCAACTTTTGAAGGAATCGCCATACTGCTTTCCACAATGGTTGTACCATTTTACAGTCCCACCAACAGTGTATGAGAGTCCCAATCTCTCCACAACCTCGCCAGCATTTGTTATTTTCTGTCTTGTTGAACTTTGTATCATCATTCTTTTTGACTAGAAATTGAGAGTCACCTTTTGTACTGCGGTAGTGGCAGAAGTTCTCTAACTTCAGGGGGTGAGGAGAATCAAGATCAGCACAAAGCTGACTCCCACGAGGTGGAGGTCAGATATACCGTCCGTCTCCAACCTTTATCAATTCTGACACCAGCTTTCTTCTCTATGACACTCTCTACTTTAAGGTGGATTTGATAGTTTGCTGCAATGGCCACTCAGAACACACAGACCATACCCATGATTTTGGGGCCTGTTAGGGAGAAACAAGTTACAATTCAGTATAAGGATCAACTTGGAAGTACGAACAACTCAAGGGAGAGGACACAGTTCTTCATTCAGTACTACTTACAACGAAGACTGCTCTCCTACTGCTGCCGGATACTTCCATCCGGACACACTAACTTGTCTGGGCAAGAGTTATAACTCTTCAACTTTGTAGACAAGTGCCTGCAGTTACCCTACTCTGCCAGGAAGGCTCCTACTTGAAGGCACTCAGCTCTTTTACTCTAAGGATCAACAGGCCCACTGTAGCTGTCTCTGGCCACAGGCCAGGAAGCCCACTATAGCCATCTTCTCAGCACAGAGATGCTGGGTCCAAAGGATGTGTTCCACACCCAGCTCTTCTTGGTGGTACTGACTTTCCTCCTCAACCTCTGTGATATACTGATTCTTTCAAGCCTAGCAGGATGGCAAAACTGACTAATCCCCTAGGTAGGCCACAGCCCCTTAGTTTGGATAGTAATTGACCAGTCCCTGCAGGAGTGTTACACTTCTTGTTTGCATAATAGACTAACCAATTTCTTTGTATGTTTGTGGCCTAGCAAATCATCTTAGCAGAACTACAAACCCAGGCCCAGAAAGGCCACGTATAAACTCATTGGCCTGTACCCTGCTGGGTTCCATGATGTCAGAGCATAACTATCTTGTTCAACACTTGGGGCTGGGGTAGTGTTTGATACACATGTAAGTTTTCAACAACAATTTCTTGAAAGATTGAATCCTTGTTTCATCTCTTTTCCTTTCCCCCCAAAACTCTAAATTCTGTAACTTCTTTCCTCATTTCTGGCCCTTTTTTTCTGAATCCATTAGAAAAAGACTAATCCTATTTGTTCTTCCCTTTATTTCTGCTCCAATAATTCTGTCAAGAAATTTTTTTCAAAACAGAGCCGATGAGATAGGAATGTTGTTACAGAAGGAGCTAGCCCAACTGTTCAGAGCTTGAATTGGCTCTTGAAGTCATGTTAAGGTAGAGTTTGAAGCAAATCACCTGTTTACATGCTTCCAGTATGGCTTGGCATTTAAGGATGCTCTAAGTTCTTAAATTTTTTTCTCCTTTTTCCCTGACTTCCATGCAAATGAAACTTATTTATTTTCCAAAAAACCTTCTTATATTTTTACTTCTGGATTTTTTTAATCATATTTTTTTTTTCTTTCACATGAAATTATTGTTGTTACATGCTGTCAATTTTGACTCATAGCAACCCTGTATGACAGAGAACTGCCCTGCCCCATAGAGCTCTCTTGCCTGTAATCTTTATGGGAGTAGATCACCAGGCCTTTCTTCTGCCCAGCCACTGTGTGAATTCATTTTGTCTTCTGTTTTTAAGTTTTACCACCCTTCACGGCACAAAACAAGTGTGACCTTCTATGAATCCTTCGCAATTTGCCTTAGTATTCACTGATCAATCCTGTCTTCACACTCTTAGAACACATAGGTGTTCATTCACTCCGTGTTTAACAAATACCAACCCTTCTGTGCTTACATTTTCTCCACTTCTGGAGAGTCTCCTTCATCCAATGTCAAACACCAGGTCTCACAACCAGAAATCTCATATAGTTGATCTAATAAAGATGAGATTTTTAAAAAGCCACACCAAATCCCTCAAGTTAGTATTATTAGCAATTAATCAAATGAACACTCCGTTTAAGTTCCTTGCTAGTACATTAGGGAGGAGGAAGAAAGGATACAATTTTATTAAAAAGTGCTTTTTGCTCACAAGGAATTAACTAATCACTTCCTATCCAGAAAAGCTCTTTGCAGTGACTGAGCGTTTTGGGATGAGTTAATTCAATTCTTATGCACTTGACATTGCATCAAAAACAGCCCCACGCCTGCGTGCCAAAAGGGCAAAGTAGGACTTTCAGTATATCAGTGATTTGAGGCTTAATATAAACCAATCAACCAAGGAGCCCTGGTGTTGCAAGGGTTAAGTGCTCAGCTGCTAAGAGAAAGGTCAGCGCAGCACTGGAGAAAAGAGGTGGCATCTATGAAGATTCCACTTGTAGGGACCCTACAGGACAAAGTAGAACTACCCTATAGGGTTTCCAAGGCTGTAAATTTTTACAGAAGCTGACTGTCTTGCCTTCCTTCCGCAGAATGGCTGGTGGGTTCGAATTGAATTATTGGCCAGCAGCCAATTGGTTAGCATTATTGGTTGAACCACTGTGCCACCAGCCTTAGAAACTCTATAGGCAGTTCTACTCTTTCTGTAGGGTCACTGTAAGTTGGAACCACTCCATGCCAAGACAGCAACGGGAAGCCAACCAACAAACCAACGCAAACATTCTAAAAAATAACGTGGAAGGTCCCTGCGTGGCACAGATAGTCTGCATTCTGCTGGCACCCTAATAGGTTGCCTGGTTCCAAACAACCCAGCGATACCGCGCATTCTCCGGGCTTGGCGATGTTGTTGGCGATAGGCTTCTGTAAAGATTACAGCCAATCCGACTAACCGTCTTTCCGAATCAACACTTAAACAAATACCCAAAAATAAAGCGGAAAGGAACTACCTTCCTTACCCTGCCTCTCACTTACCAACCGTAAACACTATTATTGCTTTCTCCAACCAGAACATTTCTACGCTCCTGTGTATAAGCCTATATTATATGCTATTTTGAATCTTACTTTGTTGTTATGTGTTTTAGGCAAACAAAAAAAAAAACATTTGAAAGAATTTTTATTTGTGTGCAACTTCAGCAGTTGTCAGTTGTTGGGCTTAATATAATACAGCTGTTAATTTTAGTTTCTTTTTCGGCAGCAGCTGGACGTATTTGCTTGCAGTTTCCACCGCGGTCGCGGGGGTGTAAACACACGAAACGCAAAAATAGCACAACAGTTAAAGACGTTCCAAGCGTTGCCCAGCAAACCAGGCTGGGGGCGGCCCAGCCCGCCGTACCCTTTCGAGTAAAATAGAAGCAGAAGCCCCGCCCGTCGGTCGCGCGCGCCCAGCACACCCACTCTCCACCTGCAGCGGCCCCAGCTGCGCGCGTCAAGACCCCTCCCCCAATTGGCAGAAGCGGTGGGGCCTGCGTGCGCGGGCGCCGAGTCCCCCGAACCCCCATTCGCGGAGGCAGCTGTAGCCTGGACACGCGACGCTGGGACCCCTTCCCTAATTGGCGGAGGCTGCGGGCCTTGGTTGCGCGCGCGCAAAGACCCGGATGGGCAGCAGCTTCCGGCGCGCTCCCTTCGGGCGGTAGGAGGCGCGCATGGGGGCAACCTCAACAAACTGGGTTCCTTTTGGGGCCTGTATGGCCCTGTGTGATTGGAAGGCGGATGGCGCAAGAAGCCGAACCTGAGGGGCAGCCTTAACCCCTCTGAGCGAGGTCCTGCTGCTTTCGTAGCTAAGAGACTTCTTTGGACCTACAGAGTACTAGCGCTCCAGCGGCGTGGGCCCAGCAAGTGAAATGGTCGCCAAGGCCCAGGACGTTGGGCATCCGCACGCTCGGTGACGGGAACTGGGAGGTTCGAGGGATACCCGCGCTCCTGTAGCAACCCCGCATGGTGAGAAGCAGGTATCGGACCGGAAGCGCATGGTCAGTTTTGTGTCTGGTCTGTGATTTAAGTCTTCTGGCTTGGTCTGGTCTCATTGTCTCCCTGCGCTCCGCGGCACAGCTTTTGTGTAATATGTAGTAGGGGTCGTAGAGCACTGGGGTTGAGGTTGTCACCACCCGAGAGAAGGCGGGGCTTCGGGCTCTCGCTCCCGGTAGGGCTAGGGCGGAGGGGGGTGGGGTCTCCCCAGAGGCCGAGGTAAAGTCACGTGGGAAGGGGGCTGCGGGAGCACGGTCGCTTCCTAGCCAGGGGTTCGAATGATGACAGGTGCCTGTTCGGTAGCCTATCTGAACCGGGTTCCGCCCCTGGGCGAGATCGGGCTGGTTCAGTGGGCAGGTTGACTCAGCTTTTCCTCTTGGGCTGGTCAAGTTGGGACACGTTCTGAGTCTGCAATAAAAGGAGCTAAGCCCGGACTTGTCTCCAGCTGAGGGTATTTAAAAACCGTGCCTTTTCCCAGCTGTATTCATTGGTGACCACAGATGCACGACATTTTTTCTATACTGATCCAGGTAAGGGTTGACTTGGCTAATGGCTTTAGTTTTATTAAAAGCATCATTTACCTTCTTTCTATATGATTTTGACTTTTTCACAAATATTTCATTATTTCAAGTTTTCATCATTTGTGTTTTTTTTTTAATACTTGTAGGCAAATGTGCAATACCAACATGTCTGTGTCTACTACCGATGGTGCTACTGCAAGCACCTCACAGATTCCTGCTTCAGAACAAGAGACCCTGGTTGGTATTTTTGTCTGAAGTGTAACTTTTTAGAAAATTTCATTTTGTTATCGACCCCAATTATAACTCTTTAAATGAAATTTAAAGTATGTAGCTTAAATTTCGCTGCCTGTCTGGGGCATAACTGCGTGGAGTAAACGTTTACTTGAAGACTCAGCCAATATTTTGTTAGTCCTTTACTTAGTGGACTTAAGAGATGAATTTCATTACATTCTTAAGGATACTGAAGTTATGTTATGTGACTGAATGTTTTTCTCCTACTTTGAACTGTCTGATGGTTTTTAAAAATTACAAGTCATTCATGCTTGTAAAGATTTCAAACATTACAGAAGTGAAAACTGAAAATTCCAGTCGTCTTCCCCATGTATCTGTTTAGATCTCTTTTTCAGTGTATATACCCATAGTATTTATTCACATGTATGTTTAAGTTTGTGTTGTAGTCTTGTTTTATTGAAACAGGATTAAATTAGAGGTGTTCTGCAGTTTGCGTTTTTCACTTAGTGTGTTAACCTATGTCAATAAATAAAAATTGCCACATTCTTTTTAACAGCTGCATAGTATTCAGTAGCACGAGTATACTTTTTTTTTTTTTAATTAAACCTTTATAGATAGATTTTTAAATTGTGTCTAGGTTTTGGATATTACAGTTGAATTTTAAATTTTGTCTAGCTTTTGGATATTTCAAGCTGTGGTTTTATACATATATCTTAACCAAAGTGTTATATTTCTGTAGGAGAGATTTTATGAAAGTAGAACTTCTAGGTCCTAAAACCAAAAAAAAAAAAAAAAAAAATCCTTCAGGGGCTGGTAAATTGCATGTCAAAAGGTTTGTAAGTTTTCAGTGTTTAACAGTCTTACTATCTTTCATTTTTGAGGGGGGCGGGGTGGAGAAGGTACTTTTTAGCTGGTCACTTTTCATTTAAGTCATTTGTATTTCTTCTGGTATTTGACTGGTTTACTTGTCTATTTTTCTTTTAGGGTTTTTGCATTTTTCTTCACAATTTGGAGTAGTTTTCTGTGTATCAGGAGCATTTTATTGTTGTCTGTAACAACTATTTTATTTAAATTTATGTTGTGTTTTCACCATTGAGAAGTTCTGAATTCTTATGAAGTCAAATTTATTGAGCTCCTTTTTGAATTTCATAAACTTTAGAAGACCAATCCTAATATTATGCAAATAATTATTGTATTTTCTTTGTGTTTTTTGTGTTTATATCTTCAAGTGGAATTTATCTTTTTTTTTTTTTTTAAATAAGGTTAACATGGTGGTATCTTTTACATTAATTTTCTTGTTAATGCACATATGTGTGTGTATGCGGTTGAGTCATTTCCAACTCATAGCAATCCTATATGGCAGAGTAGAACTGCCCCATTGGGTTTCCTAGGCTGTAATCTTTACAGGAGCAGATGGCCAGGTCTTTTCTTCCACAGAGTAACTGGTGGGTTTGAACTGCCAGCCTTTTGGTTTGATGCTTAAGCATTGCACCTCCAGAGCTCCTTGTGTGTGTTTTAATAAAATCTGCTTTCCATTGCCAAATTTCTTACTTTGAAGTTATTTAATGTAACTTGAAGTTAGCATATATAAAGTTAGGAGAAAAAAGTAATTTTTATCTTTTATGTGGAGTTCATCCTTTATGTACCCTGAAAAAGTTCATATGTAAGCACGTAACAAAAAATTTGTGTTCAAAATAATCATTGATTTTAATTTATTAAAATTATTACATTGTGTATTTTAAATTTTTCTATGATTAAATAATGTTTGTTTTGTTGATTAGCCAGAAATAGGAATATTCTTAAATCTGATTTGGAGAGTTACATCCCAGTCTGGGATGTTGTCAGATCTGAAGCCTAGACAAAGGACAGGGCCATATTGAAGAGTGTGAGTCAGTCTGTGTGGGAGTGGCAAACTGTAAAGATTTTAATGTAGCAACATGTAGAGAAAGAGCATAAGCATATTATATACATTTCCCTTAGCCATTTATTTTCTCAGTACTCCTTGCAAAGCCTCTAGGTCAGGATCAGGCACTAGTAGCAGTAGCTTTTTACCTGATTTGACCTACTGCTTGTTTTTGTAAATAAAGTTTTATTGGAATTCAGCCATGCCCATTAGCTTTTAGGTTGTCTATGCTTTGTTGCTATAATGGCAGTCTTGAATGGTTGTAACACAGCATCTATCACAGAGCTTAAAATATGTACCATCTGGCTCTTTACAGAAAAAGTTTTCTGATCTCTGATCTGATGGGTAGGCTTGGGTGCAAGTCATTTGTCTTTTTGTGCGGTAATTAGCAGGGTCTGGTGCGTGGTGGTGCTATGGTTAAAGCACTGGGCTGCTGACCAACAAAAGGGTGGTGGTTTGAACCCACCGTAGTCTTTGGAGAAAAATGAAGCAGCCTGCATCTGTAAAGGTTTATAGTCTTGGAAACCCTATGGGGCAGTTCTACTCTGTCCTATAGGGTTGCTCTGAGTCAGAATTGACTTGATGGCAGTCAGGTTTTTTTTTTTGTTTGTTTGTTTGGTGCATACTGAAGCTCAGGAAATGTTTGTCAAGTGAAGATACTTAAAATGTAGAGCAGTTGAGAAGCAGCACGATATAGTAAGAAATAAATGCTGGGTTGTATTTGAGGTATATGACCTATGTCAGCCTGGGTTAGAAATTTAAGCTCTCTAGCCTTAAGGACCACATCTGTAGGAAGAGAAGATTGGTAAAAGGACTTAGCCTGCTCTAAACATTATTCTCTCTTGGATTCTGTCACAGTTTAAGTTCATATTGAGTATTCCATTTATAGTTGTTTCAGTTTGTAAAGGAGTTAGCCAATGGTAGAAATAGTGGAGGAAAAGAATAATGTTTATCACCTTGAGATGGATACTGTTTTTGATAGCAACTAATGGTAATTTAGCCTTCCATGGTATTTGTATAATACTAGATCCTCCCCAGCCTGTTTTCTAAACCTCCTTGACAGTCTATGGTATATAGTTTATATAAGCTAGCTAGTACATTTTATTAAAACACTTATTTTTTGAGATCTGGCCTTGTGAGATTGTTAACATAGTCTGCTGCCTTAATGGAATTTCTGTGACATTTGTTTGCTGAGAGACTTAGAGTTCTAGACCAATTTTGGAAGTATAATAGCAACTCTTTTTTTCTTTATAGGTTAGACCAAAGCCATTGCTTTTGAAGTTGTTAAAGTCTGTTGGTGCACAAAAAGACACTTACACTATGAAAGAGGTAAGTTGAATTGAGAAGTAATATAACTAATGTCTTACTGTTTTCTATAACCATGCGTATGGCTTCCAAGACTATGGGGATAATTGTAATTGGCCAGATAGAAGATTTTCAATAAGCAGCAATATTAAGTACAATATCAGTTAAAATTGACTTGATGGTAGTGGGTTTGGCCTTTTGGGTTTATGGTAATTTGGACTCTGTTTTGAAATCGAAGACTAAATGCTTGAGTTTCATTTCTTAACTAGGAACTGAGGCAAATGGAAGCAGGGGTTCTTAACTTTTTTGTGGTATGGACCCATTTGGCAAACTGGTAAAGCTTATGCATCCTGTCTCAAACTCATGTTTTTAAATACTTGAAATAAAATGGTATTACAAAAGAATTATGTTATATTAAAATGTAATATATTAAAATATATATTAAAATACAGTTATCACAATTTTAAATGATATTAAGCAAATTTGTGATCTGTGCTGCTTTAAACATTTAATAGGATTTAGCTGTAGATTTAAAATATCTTTAAGTAGTTTTAAATGATTTTTAGGTTTAAATGATATTTAGAGATGTTTGTAATAAGCGTAGTATGAAATGAAGCATGGATATTGCTAATAACCATTGCTGTGGTCTGTTGCTTATATTCATAATTGAAGAAAAAGCTAAATTTCAGGTAGTGAAAATAAGGAACATTTTTTTTTCTCATCCAAATTAACGGACCCCTGAATTCTGTCCATGCTCCTCTTAGGAGTCCATGGTTCTCAATGTAACAACGTCAGAGCTAGACATACGTGAGTGCAGTATACCAGTCTTTCTGGGGTAGAGGTCAGCTGATTCATAAATATGTTCTATTTATATGAATACAACATTTCAGTATATTTATTATCGAATTTTAAAGTTTTGTACAGAACATGACTTTAGGTGAGAATGTGGGTCATCCTAGGCAAAACTTTTACTGTGAATTCTCTAGTTTATGAGGACCAGGTTGTTCAAAAGACTGAAGGGTGCTACCTATATTAGGGTAGTGGGACAGTAAGAAATTCCAGACCCATTTCTTTTCAGCCACATTTTTATAAGCTTCCTGAAGTCTGCTTAATTAAATAGTTAAAACAATAGTGCTTGTAGGGAAGTGGTGCATTAAATGATGTTTTTAGGGCTGTTAAGTTGGATTTGACTTTATTATTACATCATCAATTAAAATAAAATATGGTAGGTTGAAATGAGATAATTGATCAAGAACATCATAAAGATTAAGAATGCTTATACTGTAAACTGTGTATCAGTAATATGTATGCTGTATGATGCAGTTTTGGGTTCAAGGACCTTTGTTGTGTTGAAAGCTAATATGGGGTATTAGAAAGAGCATGCACTAGGAATCAGAAGACTTGGGGTCAAGTCTTTACTTAGTTCTGTATCCTCAGAAAATTATTTAACCTCTCTTACCTTTAATTTTGTTATTTCGAATATGGTGATAACAATTTTATGAAATACCAGAATGATAATGAGATTATACTAGTACATGGTAAACTAAAATGCCATTCAAATTTAGGTGGTTAATAGGTTTGAATGTAGATTTTTAAAAATACAGTGCTTGCTTCTTTGTATTAATGGAGCACATGGAATATAATTTAACTTTATATTAATAATTCAAGGTCTTTATTTTGATTATTTATTGTAGTATAGATTATACTGCTAACTTTGAGGGCTCATTTCATTCACTGAATTCTCCCAGTCATGAAGTTGTAATGGGTCATTTTCCTGTCTTCCTCCTCTATGATGACATTACAGGTCGTTGGAGGATCTAGTGCTTATGGTTATTTACTGAATGATTCCGTCACTGTCACATTTTAGTTGGTGTTTTTTTTTGAAGTTTATTTGTTTTTTGCAACTTTATTGCTATCAGTGCTTTTGTATTTTGCTACCTTTTCCCTTCTTCCTAAAAAGTAGTACCTAGATATCTGGACAGAACTAAAATCTGCAAGAAAAAACACCACATTCTAAGGGTTAGGTGAGTAAATCAGAGAAGCAGTATCTATTTTCATTATATTAAAAGGAATAGATTTTAAAAGCAGCTCTGTTTAGAGTATAGAATGGTGGTTACTCCACGTGGTTGTGGTTGCTGGTTGTTTAACTCTCTCCAGATAAGTAGAATATTATTGAAATGAACATTTAGTTTTCTTTAGTGCTCAGACATCATATTTCTATTTCAGGTTATATTTTATCTCGGCCAGTATATTATGGCTAAACGATTATATGATGAGAAGCAACAGCATATGGTATATTGTTCCAATGATCTTCTAGGGGATTTGTTTGGTGAGCCAAGCTTCTCTGTGAAAGACCACAGGTAAAATCCTTCAGTTTAGTTCATTGTAAAAATAGAACATTTCAGCTCCTATCCATTCCCACTTCTTTTTGTCAGAGAAAAATTGTTACTACATATATCAAAGATGCGGAAATTTAATTTCTTAGAAGATGACATACTGCTTGAGAATGTGATCTCTGGAATTTAAAAATTGGGGTTTGAGACCTAGCTTAGTTTTTTACTAGCAGTGTGATAGGTAAATTAACTTCTCTAAACCTTAGTGTCCCCATTTGTAAAATAAGGATTAATTCAAGTACCTCCCTGGGAGCTTATGAAGGGACAATGTGTCAAAAGCACGGTATTCACCAAATATAAAGTATTCAAATATTAAGTGCAGTTATTATGTATTATAAATTGAGTTATTATGTATTATAAATTGTTATTATTGTAGTGATTTTCAAAGGCAGTCTTTATGCTATGATGTGATAAAGGCTTAAATTTGATCTTTGGTTACTTTGGAGATCATTTTCTTTGTCATCAACTATTAATGTCACTTAATCCACTGAACTTGACCCAGTTGACATTTCTATAGTTACTCTCCTGGGAACTGAACACTGTGATTTTTCAGTCATTCTTACCTTAAATCTAAAATTCCTTGGCCCATTTGATTGAGCACATGATGAACTTAGGATGTATATTTTTAATAAATGGGACTGATGCTTTTTTTCCTGAAACAGCCAGATTCTAACTGGTATATGATGTTCAATAATGTAACTAAAAAGCTGGTAACTAAGTGGGATATTGCACAACTTTAAAACAACTGATGCACTATATATTCATTATTGAACAATAGGAAAAGACAGAAAGGTAAGGAGAAGAATATGAAAAAAAATGATCTGTGGTTTGTCACCAGAAGGTATTTTTATCAGTCATTTCTATAGTATGGTGTGTTTTAATCTAGTTGTGAACATACTATATTTACTTTCATGTTCTACTTCTTAATATTGTATAAGCATCTTTCCATTGACAGACCACTTCTGTTTAATACTCGCGTTATCATTGTCTACTTGGCCTTGACATGTTATTCACCTAAGTTTTAACTTTACAAATTGAAAAAATTATATAGGTGATTTTGTATCATTTGATTATTAAATCTTAACATTTGAACATTTCTTATATTGAAAGCATAATCTTAAAACTATCTTTGACTTGAATTATGTTGAGAGATTGAACATTGGGGAAATTACTGGCTTGAAAAGAGAAACGAAGAGAAATATTATTTTCATGAACGTAAGAAACTCTATCACCAATCCCAAGGGTGAAGGGAGATAGAATTGGCACTTTTTTCTTACCCTTGAGAATGTAATAAATATTAGAAATGATATCTGTGACCAACAATCTCTAAAAATCATTAGTTTAAAAAGAAAGAAAAATGTACCAGACATAAATGAATACTAGAATAAGAAAATTGTCTTCTCACTAGGACGTAAACTCCAAGAGGCAGAGATTTTTTTTCTGCTCTATTACTTGTTTTCCCCAGTGTCCAGATTAGTGCCTGAAACATAGTGGGTGCTTAATCTGTATTTTATTGAGTAAATACTAACTTTTTATTTAAAAAATTATTAATAATTAGATGATTGATCCAAGGTTGATGAAAGTCAGGATTGTAATACAATACCTGTAATGGTTGGTTTTGCATAATGCACTACTTTTTAAGGCAGTTGACTTTCAAGTACAATGCTAGAATATTTCTGTTTGAAAGTGAATATGCTAATCTGTTTCCTTTGTGCTCACCCTACCCTTGATATTTTTGGTAAAGTCTAAACAAAGCATATTCTAAGAGATGGAGATGGGAGATCTTTATGATAAGCGAGACCTTAGTGATTAAATTAAAAGTTGTTGTTGTTGTTATGTACTGTCAAGTCAGACCCAACTCATAGCGACCCCTCCTTGGGTTTCTGAGGCAGCATCACTACGGAAATAGATTGCCCCATCTTTCTTCCGAGGAGTGGCTGGTGGGTTTGAACTGTCAGCCTTTTGGTTAGCAGTCAAGTGCCTTAGGCACTACGCTACCAGAGCTCCCAAATTAAAAGTAGCCATGTGTAATTATTGTGCTACTAATTACTTTGGTGCTTTTGAACACCTAAAATATTGCCAGTGATACAGTTTTAATACAATAATTTAAAATTTGGTTTTGAGCGAGTGCAATAATTCATACTAATGAGTATTTAAAAGTCTGGTTAAATCCAATTTAGTAAGTTGTTATTTTAAAATACACATTTATTTATTTTTTTCTCCCTACCAGGAAAATATATACAATGATCTACAGGAACTTGGTAGTAGTCAATCAGCAGGGTAAGTAATTTTGAATATCATAAACATATTTTAAAAGATTTTTTAAATGCATTTTATTGAAATATAATTTATGAGTAATACACAAAACTGAAGTGACATGGGTCAATGCAGTTTTTTCCTTGCAATGTTCCCTCATCTCCCCTCCTACCCCTGGTTACCAACAAAGAAAATTTCCTTCCATACATAAACCTTTCCTTGACTTTTTACAATAATGAATTAATACTGTATTTGTCCATCTGTGATTGACTTCTTACACTCAGCATAATGTCCTCCAAGTTCATCCATGTTATGTGGTAGTTTGCAGATTCTACATTATTCTTTGGGGTTGCATAATATTCCATTGTGTGTACGTACCACAGTTTGGTTATCTATTCTTCTGTTGATGGGCATGTAGGTTGTTTCCATCTTTTTGCTATTGTAAATAGTGCTGCAATGAACACGGGTGTGAATATGTCTGTTCTTGTCCTGGCTCTCACTTCTTTAGGATATATACCTAGTAATGGGATTGCTGGGTGAAATGGTATTTCTAATTCCAGCTTTTTAAGGAATTGCCATACTGTTTTCCACAGTGGTTGTATCATTTTACAGTCCCACCAGCAGTGGAGGAGAGTCCCAATCTCTCTACATCCTGGCCAGCATTTGTTATTTTCTGCCTTGTTGACCTTTGCCATTAGTGCTGGGGTGAGATGTTATCTTATTGTTATTTTGATTTGCATCTCTCTGATGTCTAATGATAGTGAGCATCTCTCTGATGTCTAATGATAGTGAGCATCTCTTCATGTTTTGCTGGCCACCTGAACATCCTCTTTGGTGAAGTGTCCATTCATGTCTTCTGCTCATTTTTTAATTGGATTGTTAATCTTTTTGTTGTTGAGGTGTTGAGTTTTCTATAAATCTTAAAGATAAGTCCCTTGTCAGATATGTAATTATCGACAAGTATGAATTTGTTACTGTCGTTTTGTTACATGCTTTTTCATGATGTTGATTTCTTTGTTCCATATAATTATCTGTGCTGAGCTCGTTTTGTTTATGAATTGTGTTATCACTTCCTTCGTTGCTATTGTTTTAGTATTTGATAAAAATTTGTACTGGTTCTCTTTTTTATTTTGATATGAAGGTTTATCATATTTCTTTGAGGTTACCTGTGATTTATAATTTCTTCCCAAGTTTAGAACAGTTTATTCTATTTTATAGTTGTCTTGACTTGCCTACCATTTAGAAGTTCTATAACTACACAGTTTTTTCTCTCTTTTTGGTTTGTAGTTGTTTTCATTTGTTGATTGATGTCTCTGGTTCCCTGTTTATAATCTTGTAAGCTTATTTACTTTGGATACTTCTATAACTAGGTTGGTTTCTTGGTTATGTTACCAGGTGTGTTAATGGTTGGTTGTTGTTTGCTGCTATTGGTTCTCTGTCCAAAGGACTCCTTTTAGCATCTCTTGTAAGGTTGGTCTAGTTTTAACAAATTCTTTTAATTTAGGAGAAATTTTTGTATATCGAACTAAAAACTTAGTGCCGTTGAGTTGGATCTGACTCCTAGTGACCCCGTCTTGGGTTTTGGAGGCGGTATCACGACAGAAGTAAATTGTCCAACCTTCTGTCCAAGGAGTGGCTGGTGGGTTTAGTCATTTTGTAATTGTGCTTTTCTTTTAAAAGGTTTTTTAGCTACATATTTAATAATAGTTGTTGTTGCTATGTGCCGTTGAGTCAGAACCGACTCATAGTGAATCCCTCCTTGGATTTCTGAGGTGGTATCGCTATGGAAGTGGATTGCCCAACCTTCCTTCTGAGGAGTGGGTGGTGTGTTTGAACTGCCAGCCTTCTGG